AGTGCGTCTGCAAAGTTATGTACTAAACTCGCTTTTCTAAAAAAAAAAAAAAAAAAAAAAAAAAAAAAAAAAAAAAAAAAAACAAACCACACACAAAAACCACATACCACTTACCTTCAAACACAGCTAACAACATATCAGGATTGGTCTTCACATCTTGAATTGTTTGCCATGGTATTAAAAATGGTTCTTTGTTCATTATCCTCGAAGGGTTGGCATTAGCAGGATCATAAAACTTGACAGGGAGAACACTGAATTCAATTAGATGTATATAAGCTAGCCAAGCCAAGCAGCGGTCACTTATGGTGAGGCGTTCTGCTATTATCTTTTCATTAGCTGATTTTAAAGCATTCTGTAAAGATAAAAGACAAACAGGATTATATTTTTGATTGATATGCTCTACATAGGACAGTAGTATATTTTGAGATCTGAAAATGAGAGAAACAATGAGGAAACGGGAAGTTTCTATGTTCTCAAAGGCTCTCGTGATGACAGAAAGGCATCCCAAAGACAGACCTGGAGCCAATACCTAGTCTCCTTACTCATACAAGCAGCCAAAGTACACATTAAGCAAACGTGATATGGCCCTTGAATAGCATAATATTATGGGCTTAGAGGATGACAATGACAAGGACCTGTCTTACTCAGAGAAGCGATCATACAAAATGGACTTTGTACTCAGCATCTTTTCTCCCTGCACGTATTCTATCTTATCTATTTACCTGAAGACAGATTTGCACAGATGTCACTGAGGGCAGTAGTGTGTCTTCAGGCTCTGCTACTAGTGCTATATGCAAGACTGAAAATAGTCCAGTATGACTGGCACATCAGAAATAAAGTTTGTGATGACTGGCAGTTAGACAAAAATCTGTGTGTGTGAATGCAGTACGCGTGCTCTGGAATCAATGACGCACAACAAATAGAGCTTATCACATTTAGAATAATGTTTAGGGCAGACTAGCCCCAAGACATAAAAGACTTACCTAAACTGGTAGGTTAGGAAAAAGCATTACAAAACAAATTAAAAAAACCCACATGACTAAGCCCTGGTCTACACTACAAGTTTAGATTGACTTTAGCAGGGTTAAATCGAATTAAGCCTGGACACGTGCACACGACGAAGCCCTTTCTTTCGACTTAAAGGGCCCTTTAAACCGTTTTTTTTACTCCACCTCCGACGAGGGGATTAGCGCTAAAATCGGCCTTTGCTGGTCGGATTTGGGGTAGTGTGGATGGAATTCGACATTATTGGCCTCCGGGAGCTATCCCACAGTGCTTCATTGTGACCGCTCTGGACAGCACTATCAACTCAGATGCACTGACCAGGTAGACAGGAAAAGCCCCGCCAACTTCTGAATTTCATTTCCTGTTTGCCCAGCGTGGAGAGCACAAGTGACCACGGAGGGAGGGGGAAGCAAATGAATACAGAACAAATCTGGTCCATCTATTTTTTACATCTTAAACTGGCAGGAGAAGGTGCAGCACGACTCATAGACCTCCGCAACTTTTTGGGGGTTGGGGGGAGACAC